GCTAAGACTGTGTGTAGGAGTTATCATGATGTTCTAATAATCCCTCAGTGTAAAAATGCATCCTGAGGAACTACAGGCTGAAAAATAGAGAGAATATGCACATCCACAAAGCCAGCTGTATCTTTACTGCATTCGATGTGAGAAGTAAAAATCTCAGATAGAGGTAAATTCCTGTTGTTTTTCCTGTGGTAATGACTATACCTTTAACGTCTGTGAACCCTGAAAATGATTTGTTGATTATTCTGCATACTAATGCTTAGCTCACTGCTTATCCCATGTTCCTTTATACTTCTAACTCAATGGAAGATTTGTGAGGAAAACCTTATGCAAAAACCCAACAGTAAAAATTTGTCTCTGAATACAGTTCAGCTCTTAATCAGTTGAGAAAAGCTATTTCTGTGCAGTTCATCAGTCATGTATATTTTAAAGATTTAATATTTCTCCTGAATTCTAGTTTACCTATCCATAAATACACATTAAAATAAACTGATGATAAAACATCTACAGAATTTCATGTCCCAATGCTCTGCTTCAATTGATTCTTGAGATATACTATTCCCCTTAAAACACAGGGAGTTAGTAATTTGTTAGTATTGTCTTCCACCACAGGAAACATCTGATTTGCTGTAATTAGGCAAGGCAGCAATACATGCCATCACTCAGCAAACTGAACAGCCATCGACTTTCGTGATTGTTTGCCAATCTTCAAGCATTAATAGGAAGCCAACATCGCTTCTTTTGACGTAATCTCTGTACAGTAAATAGGGCACTTGTGCAAATTTGATGGGCTTCATTAAAGCTTGTGGAGCAAGAAAAAAAAAGGGAAAAAAAGGTGCAGTGTAATGGAGTGTAGCCTTGGGACATTCTATTCTGTGATAGTAGAGAGTTGCCAGGGGAAACTGCAAGATGCAGATGCCAAACATGTTTTGTAAGGGAAGAAACACTGATAGAGGAATGGTGTCCTTTCTTGCTCCCTTTTCTTTGTGACTGCAGAGCTCATAGCGAATGTTCATATTGCACCTCCTGTACTGTTACGTGTTTAAAGATTTTCCAGTTTTAAATTGTGCTAAATGAATGCTCAGCAGAAGTTTGTTAGTACCAAGCAAGTACATGGTTTGCCCAACAACACCTTAATTTTGAACTGCAATTCATTCAACTTCATGGGTACTGTGATTCACACTTGACAAACTATAGACCAAGGAAGAAGAGGCATGCAACCAACCTTCCCTCCTGCTGATTTTTTGGTTGGTTTTCTTTTTTTGCCCCCCACTATCTGATTAGATCAGCTGTTTTTATCCAAGACATGCCATCAAATTTGAGACAGATTTGCAAATTAATATATACTCTAAACTATGGTTTTTACTGTATGCTACACTAAAGGAAAGATTTTTCAATCTAACTAGAAATATTTTTTTTTTTCACTATGATTTGTAGCAGAGCCAAGTACCTTTACTAACAAAAGTACATATCACACATCAGGAATACAGCTTCAAGTAGATCAATCAACAAACCAGATAACCACAAATTTTCTTTCTGTTGCTTCCTTTTGATGTATCTGATTAGATTTAATAACTGCGCCCATGCAAAACCAATTCCTCCCTCACACAGGTGAGCAAAGCAGAGGGCACAGAGTGGTTTTTCTCATAAACATTATACCTCTGACATCCATCATGGCAGTTATTGCTATATCAGAGAGAGAAACCTGCTTTCTGTGAACATCCCAATTAGCCATTTGCAGTGAAGTAGGAAGGCCATAGCTGAGAATTTAAATCACTTTTTTTTTCCTAATGTCACAGCAGAAATCTTGCTGCCTTTGCTATAACACCCTCTCTGAACACAATACCATACATATCAATCATCAGGAAGGGCAGACTGGCATAGCCTAAGTTCTGGCCAATAGATAAAATGCATAACTAAGCCAAACTGTCAGTGAACTGAAAAAAACTCTAGGGGGAAAAAAATGCCACTCACCTCAAGGCAAAGTGAATAAATCCTTCCATTTATATCTAATGCACCAGCTGCCCCAGCATACAGCAATCATCCCTGGATCACCTCTAGATTTTTGTATACAACTGTTTTTAATTTAGAGTTGCATTTGTGAATATCCCCATGCCACCAGAAGGATCCTGCCTTGCAATTAGCAACTCTGAATGTAGCTTGTAGAATACAGCTGCAAACCTTGTGATTTTATCCTGTCTCTAAGGAAAATCATGAGGAAAATTTTCCTTTCTGTATCTCACAGCCTAAGCCTTCTAGTAAGCCTGTAATTCATCAGGTTATGGCTCACAATGACGAGACGCTCTTATTTAAAAATTAGATTTATCAGATGCCAAACCAAGCTGATCTTTAAAATGAGAACTACTTAATCCATTTTGATTAAATCAGCAAAGCTCCTAGTGAAAACCAACTAGAATATTTGAGAGAGAGCTACACAAGGATGGATTCTTTAGTCAAAAACACCAGTTGCAATTTTGTTGAAAGAAAGCAAGCCATTTCTACTAGGACCTCAGGGATGTTTATAAATAATACCTAAATTTGAGATGCTCTGCAGTGTTTTCACTACCATAGTCCTGTTTTAGATCCCTGGTTTTATATGTGTCTATGCTCTTTTCCCCTACACACATTTTACCTAGCTTTTATATGCTGCTTTTATTCAGAGCCATTCAGAGGTGCTCGTACATGAACCGTATCTCTCTTATTGCCTTTGTGATTTACAGAGTGAGAAAGAGGCACAGCACTCCAGTGATTTGTCTGAGACAGTGGACAAGGTGGGACATACAGATGTGTGCTCTGCTCAGGAAATCATGTTGATAGCCACACACAGGCACAACGTGAAACATTTAATGAACAATTACTGGAATCAGAAATCCATCTGCCTATGAAATACTGCAAAAAAAAAAACCAACACAACAAGTAAAACTTAACATCACCAACCCCCAAAATATCTGAGCACAAGGTTTATCCCAAAATACGGAATAAATGCTGTGTAAGTTGGAATCTGTGGAGAGACCAGGGAAAAACTACTTCAAGTGAAATAAAAGAAAATTTATCAATTTTCAACAATTTCACCAATAGCACCAGTGGATGAATAGGAATTCATATTTCTTTTAGTGATTGAAGTATCACATATTGTTCAAAGCAGTCTAATTTAGTCAAATATTCTGAGACCACATTTAATCTCTTGGACTGGATGAATAGCAGGTTCTAGACCACGTGATGAAACTGAGTAGGCACAAATCTTTGAGGGGCTTTCATAAAACTGTGGTTGAAAATAGATGGTCTTTAAGGTCCCTTCTAACCCAAACAACTCTATTATTGTCTTTTTATGATGCGTTACCCACAGGCTTTCAGCCTTTAACTGAAATGAAAGGCTCATAAGTAGAAATAATTCAGACTAATTCTAAAACAACTATTACAGATCTCAAAGTTACAGCTCAAAATCCCTGTCTTCCCTATCTAAACTACATGGGTTACAATTCAGATTGGAGAAAATTAGATTTACTGGTTATCTGTAATCATTTTCCAATTTAGTTATGGAACAGATAGTTAACTAGGCACTTATAAGGTTGTCTATCATCTGGATCCTTCAAATAAGTATTAGATGTGTTTTCTCAATGAAATACAGAGAGAAGTGATGGACAGGTGCTACTTAAACTTCTGTTGTACTGATGTGCAGCTGTTCTTAGTAAGCCATGAGCACAGGGCTAAAATGAACTCTGGGATTGATGAACCACCTCTACACTCTACACGTAAAGATTCCGGTTTGAGATTGAGGCCCCAGGCTAGCAGTATGTTTGTACTGGCAAGGCAAGGCCAACACAGTCAGCTCTCTGTTGAGGGCAGCCATCACAGCATCTGCTGATAGCAGCACTCTTCCTTTCCTTCTTTACTGTTAAAAGTCAAATATCTCTATTAAGGTGCTGTTCTGAAAAAAGAGGTGGCTATCTATCTATGGAGAAGACCAAGAAACTGAGTTTATGCCTGTTTTGAAGTGACATAGCACTGGCTTTCAGTTTTGCAAGGTTAAAATTTCCAAGCCCTGCACTGTTTAAAAAGTCTTTATGTGGGACTTAAAATTGGGAGAACATTAGTGATGCTCCTTTTCCCAAATTTCAATTCCCCCAAGTCCTACAGATATACTGGCTCATTGTCTGGGTTCATACATACTTTCTGTGCCACAGATTACAATTTTGGACAGAAAAAAAATTGGTTTTTTATTTTTCTTACACACAAGAATGATTAAAGTATAACTTATTTGGTAATGCTGATGACCTCGATTATTGGATGGCCCATCCTTATTGTCTGGGAAAGTACCAATAGAAACATTCTAGAGAAGAGGAACTAGCTCAGCTTTATTCTTAAAAACCAAAAACCTAAATCACAAAACAAATGAACAACCAAGAAAAGGAGGAATTCTTTTCTTCCTGACAGGTTTTTGATAATGTGAGTTGTTAGTGGCCTCATATTTGTATCCAGCCATGCTGTGACACAAGGTCAGAGAAGATGCATCCTGCCTGGTCACTGGCTAGGAGAATATTTCTGAGTAATAGTCTGTCTGCAGAATAAATAACCTCAGGCAGTCAGAAATTCTATTGAAACTCAAGTGCTCTACTGTATAAATTAAGGGTTTTTTTCTGCCAGGCATTATTTTCTGAAGAGATTGAAATATCAAGAGCCATGTAACTGTTCTTTGTACCATGAGAATTAATTTCTAAAATTTTTCCAATATTTTGTAAATGGGCATATGACCTGGAAAAATTTTCTCTTGTTGATAATGCATGAAACTGTTAATAGGTGTAAGAGTGATGTTTAAATACTGTATGCTAATAAATATCTAAGTAGCTAAGAGAACACCTATAACACAGTCAGTTGAGAGAGGATCAAGTGAAAAACCATTTGAAAACCAGCTTGTAAAAGACATCCATTAGAAAAAAAATTACTTTTTGTAAAGCTTCCTAAAGTGAAAAAACTGACATAATTTTTTACTTTTTTCATTACAGAGGAGCTTGAGTGACCCCTCATGCTGCATGGGTTTTGTACGGCAGGCACATCAGATCATCTGATGCAAACTGAAAACTCATTAAAGGAGATTATGGAGCAAACTGTTGACCTTTATTTTGTCACATCACAAGATCCAGTGATGTGTAACCTCCTGCTAAGAGCTGCTTAGTGCCTGAAGAGTGGAAGGTAACCAGCAAGGCAACTCTTTAATGAAGTGATTTCAGTGGTGGTTTGGGGTGAAGGATTTACAAGCTTGTAAATTTAAGGCTTGGGCAGATTGGTAGATATCAGTTTAAAGTTGTGAGCAGCTTGATACCAGAAGGAACATGATCCATGTGCTAATAAGTATTGGTTGTTTTTTTTTTTAACAAAATGGTTTTAACTGAGCAAAAAGTATACTATTGCTCAAGTGATGAAGAATTCTGTGTCCTAATTTCAAAATGCTAATTTAGATGGATGGCCCTTTGGCCTAATCTAGAACAGCTAGATTAGAACAGTTTCTGATCAAAAAGTTTTCCTTACACTTGCTATTTTCATTTTAAATGAGAAAAAATATATCATCTTCAATTAAATCTGATTTTCTTGCTCATGTATTTTAGTATTTTGTCACATATCTGGGAAATCACAATGTTAGTGGAACAGTACTCTTAATTCTGACTTTAACCTAGGTGATTTGTATGTTAATTAACTAAATGGAACACATACAGATTACTTAGCACAGAGACTAAGAAACCTGGGTTCTAGCCAGAATATAAAACTCCATATAGAAGTGCACATACAAGGAATTGTTGGACTGCTTTATTTGGCTTAATGCATGCTTAAGTTATATTAATCTGATAATCTGCCACAAACAATTTTTAAAACAAAATTTCCGTAGGCTGATTTTTATATTGTGCTTTTGTGTGGCATAAGTTGCAACTTGTGCAGCATGAAGTTATTACTTATTTTGCTTAATTCCTTGTTTTGAATCTTTCTATTCAGATATTAACAATCCAGACATGTGATCTCATAGGAGAAATAATAAGGCTACTTTCTGACTGCATAATAGCATTTCTCCCCTTAAACCTTTTCCCTATACTCCCATTACATTATAATGTTAGACATGGTTATTTCTCCAAGGAAAACCAAATTCTACCGTTACTGCTTCTTTTGATAACTGTGTAAGTTCCAGAAACTTTTGGTCATCAAGAGCTTGATAACCCCTTATCAATCAAAAAGCCTGCTTTATTCTTCTTGTACCCTTTTACAGTCAAAATACTTTTTTCCCATTATTTAGTACTGTAAACAAATTCTTAATTGCAAAGGATATAATATTGTGGCAATACATATTTTAATTGTTGTTTTGAAAGCTATTCTGTTAGCTTTAATATGATGTTCCATGCCATGTATATCACTTCAGACACAGATTCAGGTTTAAACAAAATTTATTTCCTCTATGTTTATATTTTAAAAAAGATTTTCACTGGAGAATTAATTATTTGTTCCAAGCTGATGTTCTAATCATCTGTACTTTAGACAAGAAACTGTCAGTAAATGTACAGTACTGCTCTATTTTTAAAGCATTTTTCAACTGCTTTGTATCAGTTTCAAACGTATTCTGACAAATATTTCAGAATAACTCTAGTTATTTTAAAATATCACATTTTCAGCATGAAGTTTTTACCTTTTTATGGGTCAATCTCACCAGGTAAAGTTTTCCAATATAAACAGCAAGTGTATCCGAGTACTTTTTTTACCTTTCTGTTCAGTCTGGCAAATACATGATAAATAGTAGTGTGAAGTCTTTCTGATGGAGAAACAAAGTGATTTCTGAATTCCTGAAAATTACCCTTGCTTATTTAAGAGCAGAACCAGCAACACTAAAACAAGCTTATAACTTGAGTAAATATCTCTGATCACATCTGAGTGTTCCTCCACTGCCAGATGAATGTCTGCCAGATGAAGACTCGATATAAGGATCTTGACTGGGCATCAGAGCTCTGTGTTGGCTTTGCTTTGCTTCCTGCAGGAAAGGTAAGGGTCTGGTTTGTACCTCTTGGGTTTTCAAATTAAATACTTCCAGTGTGATCCAAGAGTATGCAACATAACTAGTTTTTGAATTCACAGAGAGATTAAAAAGAAACCATAGTTCAACGCGTGAACAGCCCCATTCATTGCAAGACTCTTACCTCATGTAAATAATATTTTAAAATATCAGCACTCTTAACTATTTTGTTACAGAAAGTATGTAAAAACAGATGGGGAGTACAATAGGAAGATTCATGCAATGTGCTCTGAGAATTGCTCTTTTGAGAGAAGCATTTAACAATACACAGTAAAAGAAGATTTTTTTAACTTTTACACTTTTAAGTTCTTCTAAAGAAGAGAGACACAACTTTCAAGGTGTGTTCTTGTCAAAGAGTGAGTTAAAGCAAGGGTCTGGTTTAACTGAATGGTAAGGGAGATTCAGACCACTGGAATCAGCTGCACATATAGAGAAAGGAAATACATGATGTGATACATGAAGTTACTGCCACTGCCAAGCAGTGCAGCTTTAAGCAGCAAGCATTAGCAACTTCTAATACCAGAAGAACCTTATTGCTTTACAAACAGACTTACTGCAGAGCCAGGCAGCATGCAAAGCCTAGTTTAGAGCTGACATGATTTACCTTTGGCTTCATCACCATCACTGGCTAAATAACAGAATTTGCTGCATTCTGTGCTGTGTGTAATGCATGAATCTTTTTGGTTATTATGCTGTGTAAGTCAATTTCATGGTGGAATAGTGAATCAGCTGTGCTGCTGCCCTTGCACACAGACATCTTAAAACTAACTTTACTTTTGTATTTCCTACTATCTCTTGGGATTTCTGTTACTTCTGCAAGGCAGTTGCAGAATTTTCCTTCTACTGAAAAAGGATGATTTGCAAATATTTCAAGACCAAATTTTGTTCTTGTCTATCTGGAATTTCTTAGAATTGACTTCTGGAGTACCTTGTGTTTATGCTGTGGTTTGGGAAAAATATGTCACTTCAGTAGATTGTACTCACTGACAGTAAAGGACCATTATGAGGAGATTTACTTCAGCGCCCTTTCTTTAATCATATCTCCTTAAAAACATACAATATATTCACTGGTCTGTAATACTACTGCAGTGAAGTTCAAGAGGTCTAAGAGACAGAGCCATTTTCAGATATTTTCATTAGATGTATTTAGCTGCCATCTTAAGCAGTAACTGTAGTGTCTCCTTTCTCTGAAACAGGAAAACACAAGGACTAGCAACATTAGGACTGTAGCAAACAATTTTGCAGCACATTATGTGCATTAACTAAAATATGGTCATTACTTTTTCACCCATTATGAAGAGCTACGTAGTTTTGGATTATGTTTTGGAAAGATCTGACATACCTCTGACTGGAAGAGTGCCTGTTCTGCTGTTACAGACAAATAATCAAAAGTGGAATCCTCAGGCTGCATATCTTTGGTGATTTTGACATGAGGTCCTTTTGCTCTTCAAATTCATGCGTGGTCTTTGAATCAGATATTTTTTAACTTGGTGTATTAAGAGCACGGGTTTTCTGACTCTCTTTTAACACATACCTATTAGTCAGCTTTAATGCATTTAACACGTTAAACATTCATTTTTTATCATTCTAAATTGTTAGCAGAATGTTCTATTCAAGTCTTGATGTTTCACAAAAACCTATGTGTACTAATAGCATTAACATTATGAGTAAAACTTAAAAGCTAATTAAAAGACATAATTTGACATGTCCTGTTGTCCATATTCTAGTTTTATTAATGTTATACAATTTTATATAAATTAGTATAATTCATATAAGCCTCTTTTAACTGATTTTGTAATCATCATTTTCACTTTTCTCCAGGGTTGATGTTAACCTGCCAGACTTGTTACTGCCTGAATTAGTTTTTTCACTCTGTTAAATGCTGACTTCATTTTTCTTCCCACCCTGCTGAAGTTCAGTAGCATCCCAAGACAAAGTTCTAGGGCCTCTTTGCTGGTGTCTGCAAGGGCCTCTTGCAGCCTGTGACCAGCCTTTTCGATTATTCTTTTCTCTGCTGTGGCACCAGCAGAGACAGCTGAAAATTGCCATCAACAGCAGTAATGAAAAGGTTGAACATTTCCATTCCATCAGCAGAGAGCTGTGATATGAAAGGTTCAGGCTCCCTTCCTCACTGGTGAAAATAATTCTATCTTCCTTAAAACTTCTTTGTCTTTTTCCCCTTCTACCATCAATAGCTGCTCCCCTAGCACAGGAATGAGTCACTGCTTCTGTCCCTATCTCTTCATTCTAAAACTGGAAACAGAAGATGCTCTGGCTATTCTAGGAACTGGGAATTGGTCCACACATTCTGAACACTTAGTAAACACTTCAAGGAAAGAAAGACAGAAACTGCTCTTCTTGGAAGTCAGAAGTACTATGAAAGCGATATTTTGTCAGTGTAACATTGAAACATTTATCTCTGATGTAAAACTGCACAAAAAGTGCATGTGCTGGATAACTTTGTTATTTATTGTCTCTCTTCAGACTTCTCTCACAGTGTCATTAATGATAACAGTACTTCAAAGATAAAGAAGAGATTAATCTAATGATCCACTCCTATGAACTGTTCAGACCCTTGAGCCATATCTACCAAACTGTCCCTTTTTGAATGGGCTCAGATCCTGGAACATCCTATTAACTCTGAGGACTGACTGCCAGAATATGTGTGAATCATGTACTGTGAAGTGATGCTTAAAAAAACAAATAATAAAAATAAATTACTTCAAATATAGGAAGAAGATTCTGCAGTTCATTTCCATTACAGCAGTTGTTTATTATGACTCAGGAAGTACAAATTCTTCTATAGAAATTTCTGCAATACTTGAATTCATGCTAGTCCCCTCTAACTATTTTTTCTCTTTTTTTTCTTTTTTGTTGAATTTATCTTGCTTGACTTTAACGATCTACCTTGTATTAAATTATATTAAATTAATGCAATTCTGTCCTCAGAACAGTGGCCAAAGAACATGGAGCAAGGATTTCATTATAATTGAAAATAATATGGATACATTTCCAAGCTTGTTAAAAAAGCAATATGGCAGAAAACTTCAAGCATCAGTTTGCAGTAAAAATGGAAAATGATGGGCTACACAATTACCAATTATTATATAATTGGTATATGCTACTATGCACAACATACAGTGTAACAGTAATGATTAGGAGTGCATGTAGAATCACAGAATGCCTGTAAAACTGGTTTATGAAGTTTAAATACCGGGCTTTGTAAACAAAGTCACATTAATGAAGTATCAAGAGGGGACAGGATTGTATTGCCAGAAAATTCTGATTAGTTTTGACACAATACCAGATCAAACGAGCATAAAATGGCAAAATCTGTGCTGGGAGGACTGCAGAAGTGAAGTTAAATGTCAGAAACATATACAATAGTTTTCCCTTTTCCTGATCTGTGTGCTATGAAATTTAGGTTCCCTTTGATATTTGAATCCTTTATGTAAGTTTAAAGGCTGGATCATTTTTAGGGGAGAAAGAATAAACATGTGCCAGTTATTTCAAAAATTACTGGTTAAACACCTAGTAAGATTGAGGGTTTCACAGTGGAGCAGGTCTTGAAACAAAGCAAAATAATTATTATTATTATTATTAATAATAATAATATATTTTGGCTAGTCATGCTTGTACTACTTAGAATCTCATGCTCACATAATCACTCTTCATACTCACTGTTTTTCTGCTTTTGTGAAATCAAACATTTTTGATATCATCTCTTATTTCAGTTGTCAGGATAATTTTCATGTATAAGGACCAAATATTACTTGTTCCTCTTTGAGATCTTCCTTGAAGTGGAAGAGAGACTTTAATCAAATTGGCAAGATCAAGACCAACAGTAAATCACAGATGTATTATGCTTTCTGCTTTTCTTACAAGATCAAGTAGTAAATAAGGTTTATTACAAGATGCCCATAATCAGGCTGCAGAGGCTTTCAGGAGATATAAGAAAGGATTGGACAAATTCATGGAAAACAGGTCTATAAACAGTATCAGGAAGAGGCAAAGTTCTGATGTGTCTAATACAACAACTGGAGTAAAGGTGGAGTAGAAGGTGAGTGTGTGACTGAAAGCCACCAGGTTTGGGTGTTCCCCCTAAGCTGCATCTCCTGGGCACAACCACAATGAATATAGCAAGGACAGATAAATAATATAAAAGGAAAGACCAGCTAGAAATACACAGATGCAAAGAATAAAATACAATAAAATTTAGAGGAGGAAAAAGCAACTTGCCACAAATAGGAGAGAGAGAAATGTGAAATACAACTGTCAGGAATCATACCAAACAACTAATAATCATAACCAGAAAATAATGTAGAAATGAATGAGGGCAGTATGACTGCAGATTTATGTGCCACTATTAATCATAAGTGAACAGATTATCTAGAATAATCAACAGATGAAGTGAAACTGGTCTTCATCAAAATCTCCAGTTTGACTTCATATGCTAGGTACAGGGGTCAAAGATACAATGAAATGTCTGAATCCAGTGCTCCAATAGATAGACGTGTTGAGGATCTTATTCAGCAATAACTTTAGTAGTGCTAAAAATTCTTTTAAAATAAAGACAGGCCATGTCAAGGGATCTAATGCATCTGGGCTACTTACACAGTGCTTCATTTTAAGTCTCTGTATAACTCCCCACAGTTTAAATAATTAAGCTGTATTTAAAGTTAGTAATACTCTATTAATTTTGCTTTAAGTATTGTTCTGAATACTTCAGTAAGCAGAGTGGTGAGGATTTGCAGAAGTGTGATTATTTATGAGCTTGGAGGTTTGTTACAATGAAAGTCTTAATGAGCTAGATACAGATCCAAGTTCTGTTCTCAGTTTTACTGCTGTAAATCCAGAACAATTCTACTGATGTCATTGGGCTCTGGGATGAGACAGAAAGAAAAGCATGTGTTTCAGTACAAAAAGCTGAAAGAAGACTTAGGCTAACACAGGATATGACTGGACAAAGTCAATGAATGTTTTTGCTCTAAAAACCAAGCAAATGCTTTTCTCTCCTTCCAAATTTGCTGTAGTACAAAAACACTAGTCACATTACATACCAGCCAGCAAATTTCCAAACAAGAGAACATGTGTAGATGTGTCTATAGCTCATCTTCACCCTTTGGAAAGAAATCATATAGCTTTTGCATGCAAAGGATGAAAGCAAATGCCA